AAACATGATTATGTCCGTAAAGACACAAGATTGACAATACGCCACATCGTTTGGTAATAGAATATAAGAGAAAAGGGATTTTTTTCTTGATTATTGAACAGGTTTATCAACTCAATATGCCAAATTGATCAATTTTGGGGAGTGAAAAACGACAAGAAAAAGAAAATGAAACAGATTTGAGGTCTCCACGATATGAAATGTAAATAACTTAAAGAGTTAAGCTTTCTTACTTGTCTTCAAGGTATTATAAGAATTTGCACAATACAATGAGTATAAAATTACTAGTACTGCACAGATCCTTTCATTCAGGACTGCGCACCATCCTTAGACAACAACAATATTAGTAGAAAGATAAATTCTGAGCATGTGTAATGAATTTGTGTAATACCTTATAAACGTTTTAGCCTATAATACTTTGTTTATCAATGAAATATTGTGCAAGTGTTTGTTAAGAAAGATAAATGTGGCAGATTTAGATTAGATGAACATTGTGTGTTCCTCCAGTCTGATGAAAAGGTGTACTTGACTATTGGGAGTTTTTTAGGCTGTTTAATGGAACGTCTTTGACTTGATTTTTCTGGGGCTTAAAGATCACTGTTTGGTACTATGGGTTTGTAGGAAATAAATAGTTATTGAATAGTCTCTGTTGAGCCTGTTCCATAATATCACTTCAGTTTGTGATTATATTGCAGCTGGAAGTATCTTCTTTAAGTTTTCTCACTTTGGCTTTTCCGTGGATGCGATTGTTCAGCCTTTGTTTTGTCTCCTCTTCAGTTCAGGTTTGAGAGCTAGTCCTTTTCACTCGAAACTGACCTACAGTAGTGATGTGAGTCAACAGCGGGGAAGCTCGCAATATGAGCATTAATAAGGGTGGGAAGTTTTTCATCTCTTTCTTTGACAGTTGCTGGGTATCATCATCCTCTTTATTCTACTTCAATAGTTTCAGCTGATATTGTCTTACAGATGGCGGAATTCCATCGACAGTCAAGTAATATGTATTGGTTTTCTGTCCGTGAGAACAGCTCGTCCCTTTCATAGATTAAGAGCAGTCAATGTGACCAACGACAAACTCACGTTATAGATAATGTTGGTCTTCAAGTCTGTAATATTGCTGGAACATTTCCTCGTGTGTTTCATTCGCAATAGTGTGACAGCTTCGACCATATTTTTTATAGCTTTCAAATTCATACTACCCGTCTCAAATCCTGTGCGCGCCAAAATGTGTTGCCGTTATAGGGCTAAGGAACTCATCTCCAAAATGTCCTTTGTGGTTAGCTTCTTTATACTTATTGGACTGTGGACCTTTCTGAGCAGTCACTTCTTTGACAGAACCTTCTGTCATGAAATTTTCAAGTTGAGTACAATATCCAACGACGACCGAGTTATTCTCTTCTGGCTTTATCCGTTTTCTACTCATGATGCTATGTGGCTTTTTTTAAAGACTACCATGAGCCTGTTTCTTCCACAAAGTGACAGTATGTATAGCACAGTAGCAATACAAACCTTCAACAAGCTGCAAATATGTCCTTCTTGCATGGCACAGAAACCAGGTTGGAAAGACGGGTCAGCATCTAAATCGTCAATATAATCAGAACTTTCTGCAATATCACATCTTTGGGGACTCATGGACCTAATTAAAACTTTGACTTGTAGAAAATATTTTAAAAAGTGAATGTTTATAAGCTTACAAATGAGCTAAGATACTATCACTTTATGGGTACATGAACACCAAACGCTGAAAGCAAGGATGAAATTTAAAGCACAGGTACCAAAAACAACACTGTCAACTTAAACTAATGGTAAGGAAGCGTATAAAAGTCCCTCAATGATGCAGCGAGAAAGAATCGCAAGACTACTAAACATGAAATGAGATGCATCCCCCTCATTTACAAGTAAGAAATCAAAAGGAAACATCTCATACCATGGCGTATGAGGTCATGTGCCTCCGTATATATTCTCACAAAGGGGCGTAAGAAGGCATACGCCTCTATGTGAGATGCAGTTTCCTGTCCGAGAGCTATAGGGCTAAATGTTTTTTGCTCATAACTCCGCCATTTTTAAAGCTATCGATACGCCGTTTTGAGAGAAGATAGATCTCACTACCGGACATACCATGGTGGTGATAACTCAAAACCGGTAATTTTGATGATACGCCCTTTTGTGAGATGGGCGACGATATAATAAGTAGGGGATATATATTATTATAGGCTATATATGCCATCTAAGCTGCAGCTTGCACTGTATGCTTCACACGAAGCCAAGGACGTTTCTAAGTGTTCTGGTGGTTTTTTTTAAGACTTATTAATTTAATTTTTTTTTTATTAAAAAAACCCATTTATTTAATTATTAATTCATGTATTTATTTATTAATTTTTTATTTTTTTATTTTTGGATTTATCTAAAAATTCACTTTTAACCGTTTTACGCAAAATTTTCATTTTATAACAGTCGCAAATTATTAGCTATCATTTTATACTCGTTGCAAATTATTAGTTATTAT